TCGCCACGTTCGAGGGCTGCTGGTGGGCTCGCCACTTTCGAAGGCTGCAGGTGGGCCCAGCGGAGTGAGGCACTGCGCGGACCTGAGCGGGACCTCGCCGTCCCTGGGCGGCCATGTCATGTTGTTGCTGGCCCGCCAACGTTGCAAGCCCCGTGCCCACAGTCTCCTTTTGGACCTTGCGTCTTCCTTAGTGACTCAGGGGTTCATCGTTTTTTTCTCTTGATTGGGGACCTGCGAACCTTCCGAATGCCGCTCGCAGAAGTATATGCGTCCATGTCACGTCGCCGCCTTCTCGTCAAATCTCCCAAGCTGCATTGCGCAGGGGTTGGGTACGTCGCCAGGGCTTCAAAAGCAATGGAAACAGAAACATCTGGGGACGATGCTTCTAGCATGTCTTGACAAGATCTGAGCATGGTTTGAGTATGTTTTATTTTTCGTCGAAGGGGGATGTGCCCGACCTCAGGGGGGAGACGTTTTATGTTTTTAGTATGTTTTATTTTTCGTTGAGTATGTTTTGAGTATGTGTTGAGTATGTTTTGAGTAGTTTTTGTTCAGCATTGTTTGAGTATGCTTTATTTTTCGTTGAGTGTGTTTTATTTTTCGTCGAAGGGGGATGTAGGAATGCCGGGATGGCCGGCCCCTGCTCCGCGCCCCGGGCGCCCGGAGCGCAGCGGCCCGCGGTGCGCCGAGAGGCCGCGGGCGCGAGGCCGGGCCGCCCCATCGGGAGAGAGAGAGGTGGCCGCGGCCCGCCTGCCGGCAGCCGCCAGGCAGGCCCCGGCCGAGGCAGAGGCGGACAGGTCGGCACGAGCGAAGTGGGTGTGGAAAGAATGGTCGGGTCGGGCGAAAGGGGGGGTTTGGGAAAGGGGGGGGGGTTACGAAATCTGCTGCATGCAGCTGGTTTCGGCCCGGCCGAGGGGCCCATTCCTCGATACACGGGCGCCTCCCGGCGCCGGGAGGCGCCGGGGAAATCAGCTACGCGAGCTGATTCTCTAACCCCCCCTTTGCTATCCCCCCCTTTCGCCCGACCCGAAATGGGCGCGATGCCCAGCAGTGACACGTCGATTCGTGAATTGTCCGTGTTCGGTTCTCGAGAGGGCGCCGCGGCCGTGATTTTCCAGGGGCTTGCGCCCGCCAGCTTTGGGCTTCAGGTCGTTTTCACTAAACCACGTTTGACTAAAGGGAGGTCTGTTCATCCCCGAAACAGCAGTTCCTGTTCATTCTGAACGGGACTCGCTGTCCGCGCCGCCGCGGCCCGTGTCCATTTGAGACACAGAAGGCCGCCTGCCCAACAGCGGCCTCTGTTGGTCTGGGACAACAGTTGTTGTTGGGCATTGTACCCACTTTTTCCGTACCCATTTCGGGCGTCCAAAGCCAGGGGGAAGCGGATTTTGCAGGAAACGAGCAGGAAGGGAAAAACACACTCAGGCGATCGCCAGCACGGATGAAGGGGGCGTGGATTAGCGACGGCTCCCGCATCCATGGCCAATCCCGGATTTCCGCCGCCGAGCGAGGCGGCACAAGCCGCATTCTGGGGAGGGCACCTCCCCCGATCCATGGAGTTGGCGACCGCGCGCCAAATCCATAGATCGCTAATCCATGTTTGCGCGCCCCCGACACACAGACACAATGAATCGTCGACTCCCAGGAAAAAAGAGATGGGAAGATATGGGAAGCGGGGGGGAAGACGAGAGCCCAGGGAATGTGGGAAAAGATAGGGGATCCTCTTAATGTGTCTATTTTTGTGTGTGTTGTGTGTGTGTGTTGTGTGTGTGTTGTGTGTGTGTGTTGTGTGTTGTGTGTGTGTTGTGTGTGTGTTCGTTCGTTCCCCCGCCTAATGCGGGACGCCGTATCTTCACACCGTCTCAACCCAAACCGCGCGCCAAGGCAAACGATGCAGGCGGCGGTGGGTGAGGGGGAAGTACGTGGGTGGGGCACGGTCCGCTGCGCAGCCACCCAACACCAAAATACGCACCCCGCACGCCGCTGTTGAAAGCACCCAACCGCCAGGACCGGCCCCTTCCCCGCACTGGTGGAGCCAACCTACGCACAAACACACGCGACGCAAGACAACCACGGAGCTGCAGCCGGCGCTGCATGCAACCCGTGCTGTGCGCGCGCTGTCTCGGCGTGGAAAGCTGTCAGTCGGTTCCGGGTGGCGTGATGGGGCGCACCTGCACCGCGCGACTCCGCACAAGGCTCACGGGAGCATGTGGGAACGCTGGTGGGTGAGAGCGCGTGTTTGAGCCACCCATGTTTGTGTGCGTGTGCGTGTGTGTGCACAGCCGAGCCATCGCTGCACCAAGAGGCACCCATGGATACGAATTCGCAGTAAAACGTATCATTAACCTCGGACCTGTGTTCCCGTGCGGGGTCCCGGCCGAGATACGCCAAAACTTCACTACCCAATTCGGGCAGCCACGGAGAGAGGAAGAGGAGGAGGGAAGAGGAGAGGGCAGGAGGGGGCAGTGGGGCACGCGGTGGCAGCAGCGCAATGCTGCACGCTCCGCCGATGCCGCAAAAAAAAACGAATCCGTCGTAACGCCAGCCGGCCCTGGCGACGCGACGGGAGACACCGGCGTCGTCGAAACGCCCGCTCGCGGCGAAATGTCAGCAGGGGTACGCCAAAACTGCACTGCCCAATCCAGGCAGCCATGGAGGGAGGCAGAGGGGGAGGAAGAGGGAGGGCAAGGGGAGAGAGAAGAAAGGGAGAGGGGAGGAGCACGGCGCCACGCCGCACCGCGCAGCGCATCACAGCCAGCGACAGGTGCGTGCGTGTGGGCAGGCGTGCGCGGGACTGTTTCTTCCACAATGCCGACATGGAAGCTGCACGGGCTCAGCCAAACGATGGGCGACGGCACTGGCTGTTCGCACGAACGCCTACAGAAAAAGACATCGAGAACCAGGAAGCAGGCGGGAGGGGGAAGGAGGGGAGAGAGGCAGCGTGACGCAGGCTAAGGATGCTAAGGCGCACGCGATCAGACAGCAGCCTCTGGAGGAGGCTTAGGGAGTCACGAAGCCACGCTGCCGCGAGGGAGGGGCCCACACGGGCGCGCGCAGAAAACACCTGGCAGAGCCGTAGCAGCAGCGCGTGCTGCTTGACCGGGAGGGTTGCCACGCCACGGACACCGGGCTCCATGGCGGCAGGGTTCGCGAGAACGGCGGATGACACGACCGCGACGAAGGACGACGGGAGCGACACCTCGGGGGCCGGGGCACGTGCTCCAGGCACGGAGCCGATGGCTCCAGATGCCGCACCGCTACACATCACAGCGCAGCACAGCGCAGCGAGGCCGCGTCTGTGCGTGCGTGTGGCAGCACATCGCAGCACAACACAGCACAACACAGCGCAACACGGCACAAACAACACATCACATCACAGCACATCACAGCACATCACATCACAGCACATCACAGCACACGCCGCTTGGCGTGTGTGTGTGTGTTGTGTGTGTTGTGTGTTGTGTGTGTTGTGTGTTGTGTGTTGTGTGTTGTGTGTTGTGTGTGTTGTGTGTGTTGTGTGTGCTGTGTGCGCTGTGTGCGCTGTGTGCGCTGTGTGCGCTGTGTGCGCTGTGTGCGCTGTGTGTTGCGTGTGTTGTGTGTGTTGTGTGTTGTGTGTGTTGTGTGTTGTGCGTGTTGTGTGTGGTGTGTGTGGTGTGTGTTGTGTGTGTGTGTTGTGTGTTGTGTGTGTGTTGTGTGTGTGTTGTGTGTTGTGTGTGTGTTGTGTGTCGTGTGTGTTGTGTGTGTTGTGTGTGTTGTGTGTCTTGTGTGTGTTGTGTGTTGTGTGTGTTGTGTGTGTTGTGTGTTGTGTGTGTTGTGTGTGGTGTGTGTATGTTGTGTGCGTCGTGTGTGTCGTGTGTGTTGTGTGTTGTGTGTTGTGTGTGTGTTGTGTGTGTGCGTTGTGTGTTGTGTGCGTTGTGTGCGTTGTGTGCGTTGTGTGCGTTGTGTGCGTTGTGTGTGTTGTGTGCGTTGTGTGTTGTGTGCGTTGTGTGTGTTGTGTGTGTTGTGTGTTGTGTGTGTTGTGCGTGGTGTGTGTGGTGTGTGTGGTGTGTGTGTGGTGTGTGTGGTGTGTGCGGTGTGTGTGGTGTGTGTGGTGTGTGTGGCGTGTGTGTGGTGTGTGTGTGGTGTGTGTGGGGTGTGTGGGGTGTGTGGGGTGTGTGGGGTGTGTGGGGGGTGTGTGGGGTGTGCGGGTGTGTGGGGTGTGTGGGGTGTGTGTGTGTGTTGTGCGTGTTGTGTGTGCGTTGTGTGCGTTGTGTGTGTTGTGTGTGTTGTGCGTGTGTCCCATGGCCCCTTCAAAAGAGTCCTGAGGTTTTTCGCCGTCTTCTCGGATGAGGGAAGGGTGCACCCATACCTTTACCACCGCTGGACTCGCTTCGGGAACCGGGTCGGCACGCAAGCCCGGGAGAAGTCCAGGGAGTAGCGGTATCGGTACTTTTTGGTTTCCCCAGGGTCCTCAGGCTTTTCATCGCTTTTGGCTTCCCAGGGCCCTCCGCGGGTCCCAGGACCGTCAGAAAACGACCCAGGATGAAGAGCTGGTACTTGGGGAAGGCTCCAGGGTCCAGGACCCGCTTGCCTCAGCACCCGCTGCCCCCATGCGGAGGACAGATCGCTACAGAGCGCTCTGAGACGCGCTCCGTGGCGGAGCGCTCCGGAGCGGCCGCGGCGTCCGATACATCCTTCGGTGGTCCCCAAACGTGGTGGTGAGAACACCCGGCGGTGAGTTTTGGGCGATTTGGGTAATGGTTTTCGAGCGCTGGCTGGCCCAGGAAACGCAAAACCTCGTGGCGACCGCGTGTCCCCAAACCCGGTGGCGACCCAGAATTATTCTTTTGGGGGAATCGGGGTCACCACTGGGTGTCTCACCACCTGGTTTGGAGACCACCAAATCCTCCAGGCCCGCCGGCCCTCAGAGACTCCCGATGGAGCCGCACCCGAACGTACCCTCGTCCTGCCCTCGTCTCCAGCAGCGGCCGGCGACGGCGCCCATCCCCGGCCCCCGCCAGGAGCGCTGAGCGCCCGGGCGCTGTGAGGCGCGCGCGCGGAGGGGGTCTGGGGCCCACCTCGCCCCCGCGCGACGGCGTGCCGGCGCCGCGCACGGAGGAACGAGCGCTCGCGTGCGGCCCCACGCTCGCGGGAGGGCCTGCCGGCCAGCAGGCAGCGGGGCTCCGCGCCCGCGGGGCTCCGCAGGAGCGCCCAAGCCTGCACGATGCTGCAGGGCTGGATGTGGGCTGCGCCGGGTTGGGGGGGGGCCGGTCGCGGCCCTGGGCGCGGAAGGCCCCCCCCGGAAAGATGTGCAGCGCAGCTTTTCTAAAGCTGCTGAGCCGGGTTTGCGCTGAGCCAGGGCAGTCCACGCCCGAACCTTGACCCCAGTGCCCGGGGGGTCTCCCTGCGTGGTGTGGGTGGGAACCCACTCGGGCACCCCTCGGGCCAGGACGACAGGGAGGGAGAGAGAGGGGGAGGGAGGGAGAGGCAGGGAGAAGGAGGGAGGGTTTCGAGATCGGTGCCCTGAGGCTGGAGATCTCACTCGCACTGCGGTGATGGCTGCTTTGACGCTTGAGAGCATGGGTGCCATTCTGGAGGCCACGAAGCTCACGAAGTTGGGGGAGAGGGCAGACACGACGGACGAGAGGCGGGACAGGCTCGAGCAGGCAAATGCCTCGGGGCAGTCGGCGTCGCGCCTCATCACGACACTCATCGCGGTGAAGAGCACATGCGCACGTGCGGGTCCCCCCCAGAGTGGGCTTCCGGCCTCCAGAGTGGGCTTCCGGGTCGGGCTATCTGAGGCCGACCCCCAGCTCGACCCAAAGATGCTTTGCGTCCCCAACGGAACAGAGAGAGAGCGTCGCGCCTCATCACGACACTCGTCGAGGTTGAGAGCTTCTGCGATGAAGAGCACACGCGCACGTGCGGGTCCCCCCCCCCCGGAGTCTTGCAAGGCCTCCAGAGCGGGCCTCTCCAGCCTCGGGCCTTCCGAGGCCGACCCCCAGCTCGACCCCAAGATGCGTTGCGTCCCCAAAGGAACAGATAGAGAGAGAGGGGGAGAGAACAAAACAACAACAAAAAAAACAAAAAACAAAAAAAGAGAGGGGACAAAAAAAAAGCGCAGAGCAGGGGCAGAAGCAGAGAGAGAGGGAGCTCGCACATCCTGAGGGGCTGAGAAAGCCTGTCGTTTTACAGCAGGCATCTAGCAGACAGCCTTCCTGGCCGGGAGATGGGGGAGGGAGCTGGTGACGGGATCACAGGACACCGAGATGTCCTTCGACTGCATGCGCCACGATCCTGTGTCGCAGGCTTTTGCTGGCCGAGGAGCCCACCCTACAGTCGTGGCAGCAATGCCACGAGAGATGTTTGGCATGCATGTTACGTTGTCGCTTCCAGGCACGGACGAATCAGAGGAACATAAAATGCAGCGAGGCGGCAGGCAAGTAAGAGTAGAGATGCCATAGGTGCTCAACACAGTTTTGGAATGGGCATTGGAAGCCCTGGCCCGGAACTGGCACCAGCGGGGCATAGGGTTTTCAAGCTCGACGACAGCAATCCGCCATGGATGCGTTGGCCCTTTGTTTGGCCCCTCTTTCGTCGTTTTGCTTGTCGTCTCCCTCGTCAGCGTTCCGTCGTGGGGACGTCCGCTGGTGATGCTGACGTCGGAGGAGCTTCTGACTTCGATGTGCTGGAGGCCTCCCTTCCTGCGTTCCTCGTCGCCCACCGCGCCGCTGGACTCGAGCGCTGATGCCCACGAGTCCTGCAGAGACGAGGTCGTGCAGAAGCTCGGACGTCTTGGAATCGATCTCACTTGTTTTATCCTTGTGGCCACTGGTCAATCCATTGGTGAGTTTCTCGGGCCTGATGGCTTCTCTTCTCCCTGGCCCGGGTCTGTGCTTAAGTTCGCGCATCGCATCTTGGATGTCCGTGGATTCCAGCTCGGACACGTTCAGGCGGTCGCTTGCTATAATGGTTTTCCGTTTTCTTGTTTGCATAACACTGCGCAGTTGAATGTGCCATCCCTTTACATCGCTTGCACTGGATTCGAGGGTCTCCAGCTGCTCACGACTGGCCCTCGCTTGGCTAACAGTCAGGTCCTCTTTGTTCCCTCTCTTCCCTCCGCCTCGCGTTCGGAAATCTCCTGCTAGACTTGGTGCGCCACGCCGTCGTCTATCGCGTCACCATCTCCCGTCCTCTGCTGTCGTTTCTGCCCAGAGCCTCTTGGCAGCCTTTGACGGCGATGACAAGCTGTGAAACCTACCCGTGGCAGGAGAGAAGTCGGTGTACGCGAGGCTTGGCAGTAACTTTCGAGCCCTGTCTCAGAGTCTCAATGCCCCTTCCACGTGCATTTGACCGTGGCAGAAGAAGCCGTTTGAATGTTGAAAGGTATGGCTCATCGTTGTCCTCGTCCGACCTCCGCGTCTCGGACGAGGCACCGGGCCCCCACCAGCGAGCCCGGCTCGGAGCCGCTCCCGATGGCGCGTCGGAGGATGGCCTCGAACATCCCGAGCGGTGCTATGGCCTCTGCCCGTCGGACCTCCATGGACGACTGGTGCACCTCCGGCCGGCTTCGGGGTCATACGAAGGCTTGTTTATCTTGCCACACCGCTTCAGCTGGTGCCACCCTTTTGCATGTTCGTGGGTGTCCTGTCGTTGAGTCCCGCTCCCTCCAGCTCTCTCCTCGCCTCCCTCGTGCCTTTCTTGCCTCCTCCGATGGTCAAGTGCGCACTCTGCTGCTACACTTGTTGCCACTCCCCACCGATTGTCTCCAGTATGTCTTCTGCTGGTTTGTTTTCTGGCGTCCTTTTTTCCACTAGTCATTGACTACTCACTTCTTGGTCCCCTGTACTCCTAGTCGTGGTCGCAGCGTTTGCTGGTCTTTTCCCTCTAGGTGCGGCCTATCGCTAGCCAACTATGAGATTGCACACCCCCCATACTGGTGCAAAAAGGTTCTCTCCGATACCCCGTTCTTGTCTTTCTTGCCTTCTCCGACCTCTCATGTGGCAGTGCTCCTCCTCCTCCTCCTGTTCCTCCTCCTCTTCCCCTCCTCCTCCTCCTCCTCCTCCTCCTCCTCCTCCTCCTCCTCCTCCTCCTCCTCCTCCTGTTCCTCCTCCTCCTCCTCTTCCTCCCCCTCCTCCCCTTCCTCCTCCTCCTTTTTCTCCACTGCGGTCCAGAAGCATTGGAAATTGGTGCCAGCGCAACCCCCCAGTGCGCGGCTCCAGCCCCCCAGGAGCAGCCGCTACCCAGTGCCTGGCCAGAGTGCCCGGTCACAACGCAGCGGCCGCCCGAGGGAGGGAGGAGCTGCGCCGTCCAGGCCCTACAGCACGGCGTACCCGGGAACGTGGCCGAGACCAGCAGGAAGGCGCAGTCGGCCGTGGGCGCCAGGCTCCCTCCTTCCTCCCTCCTCCTCCTCCTCCTCCTCCTCCTCCTGAGCAGCGATCCTCTCGCCGTCTTCATCGAGCAGGCGGCGTACGGATTCTCATCTGACGTTCGCCTGTGTGCTGGGGGAGCTTTGGCACGCGACGCCTGGTCTGGACGGCTGGTGGAGGATAATGTATGCCAGCTGTTCGGCCCCTCCGCGTTGCCGACTCGCATCGAGAAGCTTTTCTCTGAGGATGGAAGGATGCAAATCGGACAAGATATTCAGTGCAAGTCGAAGACGAAGTGGCAGAGTGTCTTTTACCAGATTTTATTGCGCAGTCTCTTCCCGCCACAACTGGATCAGCTGATTCGTCGGCGAATGTCCAGGCTTTTTGGAGTGCATATTCAGGATATGGAAGCGTTGCGTGCTGTGATTTTGAGTGTTCCCATGAGTTGGGCGGTGACTGCCTTGCGAACTTATTTAGGAGGCTGGATCACCAACCGCCGTATGCAGAGACAAGCCACACGCATTTATGGATGCCTTGACGGCTTCGACACGATGTCCCACTATGTTGTGAAATGTGCTCGCTGCCACCATTTTGCGGCGCTTGTTCTGAGAAATGGCATCCCAAGTGTTTGTTGTGTTTCGATTAGGGGATCCGTGGAGGCAAAGTTGCATTCCTGATGGCGATGCCACTATCGATTGATGTCTAAAGCCTTCCAGTAACCTCCTGAGTATGTTGGTGCGCTCAAGCTAGTTGAGGCAGCGAGACTGGCGGTACGGTTACCTTTGAGAGGTGAGCAACGCCGTGAGATCAGGCGTTCTGAATTGCAGAGAGTGGTTATTTCTTGCAGGCGTGCTGTCCAGACGTCCTCGCATTCATCATTATCGTCTTCCAGCTCCGAGGATGTCCGTGACACCGACAGGGACAACGGAGTGCGTGATGAGATTGGTTCATCGTTTACTGACTCTGGCCAGGATGCCCTTGCTCCCATCGCCCCGAGAGGACGTGTGAGGGGTCTGCACGTGGCTCCTGAGCCCGAGCTCCCCAGGATGCGATCTGGGAGCTTGGAGGCTGGTGGAACGTCTATGGGGACTGGGAGTCTCTCGAGAGATCCTGAGCTGAGCCCGCAGGGCGACTGGTGTCCTGAGGCTGTCTGTCTTGGTGAGTGTGTACGATAAAAGGGAGGGGGTCGCAACCCTCCCAGACGAGAAGTTTTAGACACCCCCAGACCATCCATGCAAGGGCGGCCCTTTGCCCAGACCCCCCCCGAATCATCCAAGACAGGTCAAATCAGACCCCCCCCAAATGTGACCCCCCCCACTTCTATTATGAAATCCGGAGTAGGTGTTGCGGAGTCTAGCCGCACGTCCGCAACAGGGACGAGAGGTGGGGCGACCTCTGCGCGGCGGGCGTTGTCTTCTGCGGCGCCCTCCCCGCCTCCGCCGCTGCACGGGCCAGAGCCCGCTGCACGCGCAGCGGCAAGGCCTGCAGTTATCAGCGTGCACGATGGCAGCAGCAGGTGCAGCAGCAGCAGTAGGAGTAGCAGCATGAGCGTTTGTATTGATACTCGAATTCGGAATCGTGGTTTTCGTTGCAATTCCCCCTCGGTCGAAGGGTCGGGGTCGCTTTCGGATGAACTCTTCTGGGCACACTCCGCCTCCTCCTCCTCCTCCTCCTCCTCCTCCTCCTCCTCCTCCTCCTCCTCCTCCTCCTCCTCCTCCCCCTCCTCCTCTTCCTCCTCCTCCTCCTCCTCCTCCTCCCTCCTCCCCCGTCGCCGCCCAGTGCCCCCCGCCGACGCCCCAGCGCCGGCACGCCCCAGCGCCCCGCCCCCTCGCCAGCGGCCAGCCGCCAGCGCCTGCCTCGCGCTGCGCGCCAGGCGCACCGCCCGGGCGCGCCAGCGCCGCAGGCCAGCGCAGCGCAGCCCCACGCTCCGTCCGCCAGCGGAGCGCGCCCGGTGGCCCGAGGGCGCCCAGGCGCATGCCAGCGACGCGCCCGAGCTGGCGCGCCACCTGGCGCTGCAGCGCGCAGCTGGGCGCCTTGCAGG